TGTTGCTTCATATTCACTGTACAGAAAAGAAAGTTGATATATTTTTTGTTCTCTTCTAGAAAACGAGTCAGCGTTTTTCCCAAAATGTAATTTTGGTATAATGTTTTTGGAATCTATTATATTTTCCATAGGGAATTGCAACACTAAATATTTAAGTGTCACCACAATTTTCTTTGTATAACAGACTATTATGCATTTTGAAGGTCATCTAAAATGCCATCATCCATTGTTAATTAAACAGCCATTGTTGACCAATGCAATGTTGCAATCATTATGAAATCATGGTTTCAGAAACAGGACCGGCGCATGATAAGAATCAGGCAAGATTAAGGGATTGCGATAACTCTGGAATCAATCTGAAGCTATTTATAAATCAAAATGAATCCAAATAAAACAGTTGCTCTATGTCTGTGCAAGGGAAACATAACACTGTGTGTGGTTTATGTTACTTGTAGATTCCAGAAAAGACTTTGCTTTCTCTCTCATGATTTCATTGGGTCATTTTAAATGTGAAAGGACCTTTTTAGTCGTCGGACATGTTGAAAGCAGAGGTCACTGACTGAAGGTAGTTCACACCATCAGTAGTGTTTGAGAGGAGTGTGCTCTCACAGTGGCGCTGTTTCCTGTGGGACTCGGCCTTGTCTCTTATGTATGAGTTTATCCAAAAGGTCCCACACACTGCTGCATTAATCATCACTGGGGATGAGAGAGAGGAAACAAAAACCCTCGCCTGGGGCTTAACCCAGCCATTACTCAACGCGCCAGGCGTGATGTTTGACTTGACTCCCTCAATTACAGCCATCACAGACCCCTCACAGATCCCTCTCCGCTCCACAATGACAGATTCCTCTCATCTTTTGGAGAGCAGAGCAATAAGGCTTTACACACATGCACCTTTGACATATTGCTCTTTCAAAAAAAAAAAAGTACAACTTGACGGTTCACAGAGATTGTTTGAAAGTGTACTTCACTTATCATCTCATTAGAGAAATTCCACTGGCGGCACAACTCCACACCTCGGTATTGTGATCACTTTCAAAAATGGGAAAATCTCCCGAGGAATGCGGAGAACACGCTGCCAGAAGCCCACACACAGGATTGGTCAGACATAAAGCGTATGCCATCATAAGAAACTGTTTCCACTGGGCACAAGGGGGAAACATGTAAATGTGGAGCGTAAATGTTTGGCTTGTTTGAGAACACACATTTCTCGCCAAGAGGGTGGACGACGTGTTGTTTTCTCTGGGATCTAACAGATGTGTAATAGGATAAACTTATTATTTAACCAAAGAAAGCAATTTTACCGCTTTTTACCATACGTGCAGAGGTGGGAGAAGTGCTCAGATCTTGTACTTGAGTAAAAGTAGAAGTAAGTGTAGGAATACTCTGTAGTCCTGCATTCAAAAATGTCGCTCAAGTAAAAAGTAAAACAAGTATTAGAATCAAAATATACTTTGAGTACCAAAAGTAAAATCCTCATTGTGTTCTCACAGCTGGTAAAGGTGCAGCTAGTTTGAATGACTTTGTATACTGCAGGGTAGCTTGTGGATTTACTCCAGGTGGAACTAAAGTCTGATTCAAGAGTTGATTATATTTCACATCATTAATCCAACTAAAGGTATTAAACAAATGTAGTGGAATCAAAGTACAATTGTCGTACGATAGAAGTACAAAGCAGCAAAACATTGAAATACTCAAGTAAAGCCCCTCAAAATTGTACTTAAGTAAAGTACTCTTAAGTAAATCCTTTTAGTTCCTCTACACCACTGCCTGTGTGGCATGCTTCTTCTTCTTCTACTTCTTTTTTTAAGGGGGTTGCGCCATCAACAAAATACAGTCTTAAACACAACCACTTCCACAGATGTCAAGCTCAGGTTCTCATCAGAGGTGACAATGTTTGGCAGAGACACTATCTGGCATAACACTGCGTCTTAAGTGTGATTATGTCATTACCCTCTGATTGTGGGAGAGGAGATGAAAAGAATGTTAGAGAGGGAGGCGCGGGGGGCTAATCCTCGCCGAGGTGTTCCCTTTCAGGACCCTTTCTATGGGGCTTTGTGAGGGGCTTATAGGCATGCTGCCCCAGTTTTTCGGGGCCGCACCGCCCCTATCGGATGTCCCAGACACAGCGGAGTCAGACCGGGGCTTGTGAATGACAGAATCAATGGGCTGGGAAACAACATCGTCTTTAAATATCTGCCCACCTATAACTTTCCCAGGAGTTACATCATGGCAGAGGGACCCCAGGGGGAACAGTCAGAGGTGGGAGACGTACTCAGATCTTGTAAAGTTAAAGTAGAAGTGCCAAAGTGTAGGAATACTCGGTTTCAAGTCAAAAGTACTGCATTCAAAATGTTACTCAAGTTAAAGTAGAAAAGTATTAGCATCAAAATATACTTAAAGTACCAAAAGTAAAAGTAGTCATTGTGCAGATTGGTCCATTTCAGAATAATATATATGTTATGTTTTATAATTATTGATCATTAAAGTGTTTACCAGCTAGTTTGAATGACTTTGTATACTGCAGGGTAGCTTGTGGATTTACTCCAGGTGGAACCAAAGTCGGATTCAGAATCAGAAACAGGTTTATTGCCAACTAGGTTTACACATACGAAGAATCTGCCTTGGTGTGTACTGTATATGATGCACATAAACACAGATTGTAAGAAAAACAACCACAAAGAAAATGTTAATTAAATAAAGTTAAGTGCAGTATTTGTTATGAAAAGTGTTGTTTATTTCACATCTAGGCAAATCTCCAAAGTAAAGGTATCAAATAAATGTAATGGAGTAAAAGTACAATATTTACCTCTGAATTGTAGTGGAGTAGAAGTAAAGAGAGTAGCAAATACTTGAAATACTCAAGTAAAGTACAAGTCCCTCAAAATTGTACTTAAGGACAGTACTTGAGTATATCTACTTAGTTACTTTACTCCACTGCTTTGTATTAAGGTAAGTGTAACAATACTTCTTCCATCACTGTTGCTTTTGAATATTTCTGCCTTTTTGTTTTCTAAAATAATTCCCACTTTTCCGTTCCTGGCCATGAATATGCATAAGCTTGACACAAATTGAAATACTCAACAAAGGCACAAGTCCCTAAAAATTGTACTTTAGTACAGTACTTGAGTTAAAGGTCCCCTATTATACTGTTTTTCATCAATATATTATAGGTCTCAGATATATACAAAACATGTCTCTGAAGTGTTTGGCTCCAAACACCAAAAAGATCTTTGTAGCATTACCCATAATCCCCTCTGTTTGACAGGATGTATGATACCTAGAAGAGCATCAGGACACACTGCTTTAGGCATAGTATAGCTTATGTAGACAACGATTAACGTGATGATTCAGCCTCCCCTCCCCACGCCCCTCTGAGAGAGATTTGGTTAAAAAGAACACAAAGGTGCTCTAGGAGGAGATTCAGGTGATAACCTTGGTTACCTTGGTTGCTGATTGGCTAATGGTTACTCAAGCCAAAACATCGTTATGACATCATAAAGTGGCCAAAATCTGATCGGCTCATTTTCAGACAGGTTTTTATAGAAATGGATCAGGACAAAAAGAGAGAGAATCTTTGTTCCTGAAACTTTCAGAGTCTCTTTCCACAGAGGGGACACATGTTGATGTAGAAAAGACATGAACAAGTTGAATAATAGGTCCCCTTTAATATACTTAGTTACATTACACCACTGGAAATAGTGTTAGTGAAGACACCCCCGGCCCCCCCAGTGGGGTGCGTCTCCATCAGACTTGAGGGTTGACACAAGGTCATCCTTCATAGCCTCTGCTTTAACAGGGCCAAACCAAGTCAAATAAACACCGGCAGCCACAACCACCTACAATGTGTTCTTACAGATACAAAGGAGACCTCACCGCGTGGTTTTGAGGCGGGGAAGGTTACGGTTGGAGGCCGGCGGCTGGTCGGAGCTGAGCGCTGGTATATAGGGCAGCGAAAAGTTATATGAGAATGCCAACATAATGGGTGGGCTGGAAGCTAAACAAATAGCCTGTTGGAAAACCCTCGCAAATATGCAACACCAGCAAGAAACCAATAAATAACAGGGGCCAACTGTTGCTGCTTAAAAAAATGAATTTTACCACTGTGATTCAGTTTTGCTGGAGGTTATTTGAAGGAAAACAACATTGGTTTTTACTTAGAGATGACTTTTTCCATTTTTCTCTCGGGAAACATTTTTATTTCTTGATTTATTTGGTTTATGATTGTATTTCCTGCTTATACAGTATAATAAATTGAACCACTTTAATGCAGTGTTGCTGTTTTTTAAGGAAAACAACATTGGTTTTTACATAGATTACTTTTTCCATTTTTCTCTGGAAAATAGCAACTTCTAGACTGAAAACCTTAGACATTGACTTTATTATGTCAACACATTTCACATAACTGTATTAGGTTAGTTGAAAGCAATAATATTAAGTTGAACCTAATATCTTTTATTTCAACTTAATATTATTGCTTTCAACTAACCTTGTGTGAAATCTGTTGACATAATACATTTGATTAAAGTCAACGTAACAGGTTTTTTCAGAGTAATTAATGATCTTATCTTATTGTATCTGAATCTTATCTCCCTCTGCCTGATACTTGTAACTTTCCTACATCCTGATTTGTTCACTTAAGCCGGGAAATTGGTGTGAGACACCCGCGGCGCGCGCTAATTGATGCATTGATCAGCTTTTAGATGTCCACATTCCTGGCATACCTCGGAAGTCATCCATTTGGCGTTTCACACATTTTGCTCCGTCTAACTGTCTGAAGCTTGACCCGGCAGGGCACACCTGTCTGTCCAAAGCTTTCTACCTTTGCCATCATTAATTTGCCTTGCATATTGCCTGTGCTGACAAGAAATCTGCACATATCTCACATTTCTGCAGCTTGACTCCAAACACTTGTGTGTGCAATTTCATCCTAATGAAGAAATGCATGAATGTAACAGATATGCAACACGCTTAAATATCAGATTCATATTGAGATTTACCTTGACGCTTCCACCGACCTCTTCGCTGTTGGACATGGTAGCGTTGAAGGTCTCTGTCTGTTGTGGTGTGACCTCCTTTGGCCTTTTTCTCTCCTTCTTGGCATCCACCCCATGCAGAAGAAAGCACTGAGTCCAAAACACTGCAGCCACCACGGCCAGAGGCCCAGCCCCACACCACATCTTCACACTCTGTCAAATCAGCACCAGAATCCCTGCAGAAACCGCCCGGATCTCCTGCGAAAGGACAAGCTGAGGATGCCCACAAGGCTCACAAACTCAGAGGAGACTGTAGGAATGCAGCTTCAGGGACTCCCCGTCCAAAAGACTGTCAGACTGACTGCTGCCGCCGCTCTCCCTCTTGATGAGCGCTCAGCCAGCGTTGCAGGGGCACCGTGTTATAACTCTAGCCAGAAAGCTAGGAGGCTTACTCAACTATGAAATGTGTCAAGCAGAATGGTCCAAGGGAATGACAGATCGGCGCAGATCTGACAGCAAATAAACCCATTAGTGAGATTTTTCACGCTTTCTGCTCTGTTGGGGGGTGAGGTGTAGAAGGAGGGAGGGAGGGATGGAGGGAGTGGGGGGGTACAGGGGGCAAAAGAAGAGACAGAGAGGAGGGGTCGTCCAAAAGCTGAGGGTGGGCTGGAGATGGATGGCAATATTCCCCCCCTTTCCTGCTGTTTCTCACACTGAGCAGTGGATCCAGTCTCCAGTAAAGTTGTGTGGAAAAGCTTCATAAAAAAAAGTTGGCAATGTTTACCAGAAGATGCAGACGAGTGTCCGAACACCATGCACCCTGCGGGGGATGCAGAGTGAAGAAAAAGCCCAAGAGGAGATGATGAGGTCAAGTTGTGATGTTCTTCTGGACTCCTCACTGCAATCACAAGACTTTACAGGTAGCTCTTCTAAAATAACTCGTGCTAAATCTCCCACAATGCATCAAGCCATGTGCAAGTTTCACGTCAGAAGGCAGTGATTTGTTGTCTGGTAGCTCTCTGTTTCCTAGTCCCTCTGGTCTCAGTTGCTCCTCTGCTCCGACTGAGCTTACAGGAGGGCTCACAGTGGAGTTTTATCATCACCCTTTCTCCCCCTTCTCCCACTCCCTCTCTCTGTTTCTCTCCCTGTTGGCAACCTCACTGGCTTATTCAGCTCTGCTTTATCTCATAGGTGAAATGTTCACGCAGGAGAGGTTCTTTGGCAGACAAGTTGTGTGTGTAAAAGTTGTGTATCTGCCTGAGAGTGTGTTGTCATTTGGGTTTCATATTTACCAAAGTCCTGTGTTTACATCCAGGCAAGAAATAGAAATGCACTTTTTTATGACCCCGAGGCATTATCTTGTGAAATCTGCTGCTTCAAAACCGTGCCAAAAAACTCTGATCCTGCCAAATACAACAGTGTAAACATGTTTTGTTCTGTGTTGATGTTCAGCAAAGTCTCACTTTCTAAATGCTCTGTTAGGAAAAAAGGATTTGAGGTAAGTACTAATATTTGAAGCACTGTAAATTGCAGGTTATTAGAAAATAATACATGACTGATGTGGACAAATTATTGGTCTGGGTGTTCTTGCAATCAGCTCATTTGTCCAAAAGGAATTCCGCCCTCTCATACTCTTATTAGAATAAATAACATGTTAGCTACCAGGTTTTTTTTCACTTCACATCTTGCATGTTTAGACTGCTTTTTCCTGCACTTGATATTATTAGATTTGAACACAGTGCCACCCAGAGGCAGCAGCCTGCAGTGCAAACAAATAAACTAACTTTCCAGTATGGCTCGGTATGGCTCCATTCATTCTCCATACTGCTGCATCCCTAGTTCCTGTTTCCGCTGTCAGTCCAAATGCCTGAAGCTAACCCCAGTCAAGTCTTCCACAGGTAAACAGAACGTTGCCGGAAATTATGAATATTTTCCTTCAAAAATAAAATACATCCAGGTTGTTTATGTTGAAATCGAAGTTCTGTAATGTTTCCAACTATTGCATGTTTTCTATTACAGCTCATGTGTTGTGCTATTTACACCATGTATCCAAGTTTCTACTTTGTTAAGCATTTACCATAACTGTTAGGCCTACCTATATTTTCAACATGTGGGCTATTTATAACCTTACAATTTATTTTAAACATATCCGTTTGTTTTAGCAGTTTCGCCTTTAGCCTAAGCTAACTATTCCATCTGTTTATCCATCACTTAAGCCTGTCATTAGCTATTTCAACCAGGTATCCATTGCATTTAGCTAAATATGTTAAACATTGGTTTTTAGCAAGTCACCTTTTTGTGCATTGTGTTTGCCGTTATCTCACCAATTATCTATTAGCCAACATGTTTTGGGCTATGTCAACCATTCACTTATATTCCCACATAAAACTTGGATACAAACTTGGAACTTCTTGAATCTTGACTACATTGGTCAGCATTGGTTTTATTTTGAAAGTGCCACCCGGAAGTGAAACATGTAAATATGGTCACCTTGCCAAAACAAATATAGCTACATTAGCATCTAGCCAGGAACTGACTCAACTGACAGCTTGTGTGAGTTAACGCCAACTGGAATACCTCAGAGGACTTTTTTACCTCGTGTCTCTTCATTGGATTATTTAGACCCGACCCACATTTAGGTGTAGGAGTGTTTGTGGGGGAGAGAGCCACGTGTACAGGAACTGTTTCTGACAGCTGACTGGAAATTGCAGGTATGTGATTGGGGAAGTACAGCGAACATTAGCCAGCTAGCTACCTCTAAACATACAGAGTCCTTTCAACTTTACTCACTGTATCGTTTGTTGGTCTTCCTTCTTGACAGGTTGGTCTAATTTTCTTTTTGTATACTATTCACATAATCCAGGTAGTGTTAATTTACCTTGTTTTGTTAGCTTGTGTTAGCATATTTAGCTTAGATTCACCTGCACTGCAACAATAATTCGTCTGACGTCACGAAGCTAATCGTTGTTTACGTTAATTTACAGTTAATTGACTCAAGAGCACGCGACTAGCTGCTGGTATATAAGGATTTAAGGTTATACAAAATTACGTGAACTAAAGAAGTCAAGGTTTGACAGCTAAGTTGTGTTGCGTTCAAAGTACACGTCAGGTTTCCGTACACATCAAACGGACTCGTTCAAGTTTGTTGTTTACCTATTAAACTGAGTTATTTACAGTGAGTATTCAGATTCTTTATTTGAGTAAAAGTATTACTGTATTACCACACTGTAAAGATACTCAATTTCAAGTGAAAGTTCTGCATTAAGAATGGTACTTGAGTTAAATTGAGTTCAAGTACGATTAGGTAAATGTACTTAAAGTATTAGGGGTAAAATAACTCATTCAAAATATCTAAACATTGTAAAATATGTTAGAGCAAAAGCAAAAAATCTTCATATTTAAGAAGTTTGATCTGTGAAATATTTTGAACATAAAAACGTCTGTTAACCCACTAATGGTTTGAGTGACTTAAATATAACGTTATCTATTCCAAATAATCATTTAAAAAAAAAAGTTTTCCTAAGTATTGTGTGTCAAAATCTGAAATTCTAAAGTAACCATTAACTACATCTGTCAAAAATAAATGTAGTAGAGTAAAACGTACAAAATTGGCTTTCAAAATGTAGTAAAGTAGTATTTAAAAAAAAAAAAGAGAAAGAAGTAAAGTACCTCAAATGTGTAACAGAAATAAAGTCAGTTCAGGGTGTGTCAGGATATTGCATCATTATCTATTATCATAGCTGACTTTGATATATTATATATATATACAGTCTATGGTTGATACTAGTGTTGAGAAGATAAGGCTTTATAAAGTTGTAGGGCTTCCAGAAAAATATAAGAAGATTTGGGGCCTCAAATTCAGCGAATAATTAGGTCTGTTGGTTTGTAAAACGTTCAAAACTAGCCAAAACATTACAGCACCTTGCTCAAAACAAAAGCCAATGTTATCACTTCTGTCAAATGTAGATGGTACTTTCTAGTGAAACATGTCTCACTCAAATAATGCATCATTGAAAAATCCTACATGTAAAAGCCTTATGTAACTTATTGGTGTAATTTAGACCCAATGTCCACTGTGTGTGAGTTTTCTTAAAGGTGTATACGTTACATTTCATATTAGTCATGTTGTGATGGAAGAACAATGTTTATTCAATTAGTGCATTTTTCTTTTTTACATGATTCGGTAACAGATAGACATGTTCTCATAGATTTGCTTATGTTAAATGAATGTCTTTCAACTATATGCTGCTATAATTCTCATAAGTGACCTCTTTTCTTATCCTGAAAATGTAAGATCAATCAGGCCAGCTGTAAAACTTTCAAAATGGTCCGACTGTATGAAGCGCTTCCTGAAGCATTAGACATACAGGTTCAGCACTCTAGATAGGACTCCACCCAGCGGATCCCATTGGCTGGGAGATTAAAGACCTCCCACTATTTCCTAAGAGGGCGTTGCCAAATGTGTTTATCTTTAACATAAGCACCAACACAATGTAGCAGAACTGTTTGTTTAAAAGGAGTGAAGCTTTGGTATAATCTTCCCTTCACTAGTTGATAGCTTTATGTAAAGACTTGGCTCACGTAACCAAACACTTGTTCCATCTTCAGGTAACTATGGCTGTCTGGAGGAAACTGTGGTGCAGGAACCTGCTGTCGGTGTCCCTGCTGCTCTGCGTCCTGCTACTCACCGTAGACGTTAACGCACGGCCTGCCAACATGTCGGCGGTTAAAGAAAAGTCTCCGGCAGGCAAGGACGACAACGAGATTCTCCCCCCGGACCACCTGAACGGGGTGAAGATGGAGATGGACGGCCACCTCAACAAGGACTTCCACCAGGAGGTTTTCCTGGGGAAAGAGATCGAGGAATTTGAGGAGGACTCGGAGCCGAGGAGGAACAGGAAGAAGCTGATTGAGATTTTCACAAAGTAAGACATTCTGTCACAGTCAGGACATTCAGCATTCCTGAACGAGACGCTTGTGCTGCAGAACGAGCAAGAGAAGGGAGTGTTGTGAAATACAAAGTTTCACTTCAGAAAAAACACGAGTAGCTGTATTTAAATTTAGAGCTGGAAAAAAACAAGCTTTGCAAACATTTCGTGTCGTTTTGAGATGAGTAAAAGCTCTAAATTTAAATACAGCTACTCGTGTTTTTTCTGAAGTGAAACTTTNAGTCGTTTGAATATTGAGTTTCTTTTTGGTTTAGCCACGCTATATTAGATCAAGAAATATGAAGAGGCCTTTTTACTCATCTCATCTTGGCGGTAACAACCTGTAAAACGACACTAAATGTTTGCAAAGCTTTTTTTTCTTCCAGCTCTTCATTTAAATACAGCTACTCGTGTTTTTTCTGAAGTGAAACTTTGTATTTCACAACACTCCCTTCTCTTGCTCGTTCTGCAGCACAAGCGTCTCGTTCAGGAATGCTGAATGTCCTGACTGTGACAGAATGTCTTACTTTGTGAAAATCTCNAGTCAGCAGGTAGAGAATCTTACGCAGTGATAACTCCAATGTCCAGGCAAGTAAATAGTGCAGGTTAATAATAATAATAATAATACATGGGACTTTTATAGCGCTTTTCATGAAACTCAAAGACGCTTTGACAGAGAATTAAGAAAA